CAGAATAATAATTTTTATTTATTAAAACTTGTATTTAAACTGAATGCTTTTCTAATTTGCGAAACCAAATAGCCGCCATTTTGCGGTAGGAGGACCTCATCGCGTGAGCGGATAATCATTCGTAAAGTAAGTACCTACTTATTTTATACTAATACGACGTAATTTTTTTTATTTTTTGCTCTGGCTGGCTCTGTTGACATAGCGTCAGACACGGTATGCTGAAGGCGCTGGTGCAAATCCAGCCAGATCGAAGGAATTTTTGTTCGTGTTCGATCTTTGTATTAATCATTATAACAAACTGGTGGAGTAATTATTAATACAAGGAAGAAGACAGTGGAATAATTTCACACAATTGTAACTGAACATGATGGTAGTAAAGTTTAAATTTATTATGTTATTACTAGTTACCAATATAGATGGTTACACCTGGGGTAGTAAAAAAAATCATAGCGTAGTAAGAAATCTGTAAGTGATGAGAGAAATGTCGAGACAGACTATGTGAACATCATTTGGTGTCCAAAAACCGTGTGTAAAACATAAATTGCAATTTTTCTTTCAACTGACAAGTTAGTACTATACATTGTAAGAATTTAATGTGACGTTAACACTAACAAGCAGAACTATAATAGGAATTAGGCAGCTAGCTAGTCGAGTAGTAGTGTCAGCTATAAATCACGTTTAAGTAAGTTACGACATGATGAACAATATTATTAGTGTGAAAAGGTTTGTAGAGTTCAGAATACATGAAAATGAGATTAATAAGTATAGAGTCATTACTTGTGCTACCCGACATCCTGTTAGTGCAAGCGGTCGGACAAACCTCATCATTATGGTGTGAACGATGCTCCAGTGTTGTTCGAACAATACATTAATGATTTCATAAAAACTTTAAGGACGATAAGGACAAAGAGACTCATTTAGAACAATTTAAGGCAAACTTACAAGTGATAAATGACTAAGCGACAAGTATTATCGTCAAACTACATTTGGTGTAAATCAGTTCACTGATCTAAGAGCCGAGGAAATGAAAAATCATATGCTTAAGGCATTGACTTACAAATAAATTGACGACGGGTCTAATACGAAAACCACGAAAAAATTGTCCCAAGTCAATCTATTTAAACGTAGTGACATGTAAAGGAATATGAAAAAGCTAAAACGTTGAATTGAAATTGTAATGTCATCGCAGTACTGTCTAATTTTGCTTGCTTCGCTGTCAGTCGAACAAACGAAGACTAAAGCGTGAATGACGCTCTGTATACGATTTTAACGCCCTATAAGTTCGGACACTTTTTAGCGCGGACCCGACGTCCATATAATTGTAAGTCAATGGCTTAAGGAGAAAGATGTTAATAAACGTAAGAGTACTTGAAAGTGAATATTTTTGTCCATCCTACAACTTGTTTAGCACCATTGAGTCATAAGTTTTCTAGTCCGTAGTTTCAGTGTATCTTGTCATGATTATACCGTCGAAGTTACGTGTAGTGCAGACGTACTGTATGTCTGTCTACATTTGAAATAGCCACTCTGACATTTTTACATTCTAAATTTTCATGCAGCCGTAATTTATGCTTTGTTGCTGAAACTGATTTTAGGAATGGAATTATAACGTTCCATGATAATATTAGACTATTTCATTATATTTCGTTTGCGGGTGTTCATGACAAAACATCGCTTTGTGCGGTAGCTGGGCAAATTTTGAACAGTATTGAAATTTACGTATAGGTATCAAATTACGTTAATAAAAGCATGAATAACTCAAGAGGACTGATAATCTCCAAACTACAGATTTACAGTGAAAAATTTGTCTTATGTCTAGATAGCGCTCATCAATAGCCTGGAGTAGAGTAATACTAGGTAAATGGCCGTGGATATCAGTTAATTACTCTTTAATACGAAATTAAGAAATAAAATTCTTCGATTGTTACTCACAGGAAATGAAATTATTTTTCCGGATTTAAATCGCGTTGATTGACTGAGTCAACCGTGACCATGGGACCTGTAAATAGCCCAAAATGTCAGTTCAAATCCGGAAAATAGTTTCATTTCCTATTAAGAAATAAATTTTTCAAATTATATTGATGAGCTAAAATTATTTCTTGAATTTTGACAAATATACATGTCAAGAGATGGCATTGTGTATTACACACTAATTTATAAATTAACGCTTGCTAATGTGGGTAGATGGCGCTAATCCTAAACAAAATAAAATAATTACCGGCACTATACATATAATAAGCGCCATCTGGTTGATTTGTTTGTTATCGCTAGAAATTAGAGTAGCTTTGACAGATTGCAGCTTGTCAATGTAAAATAAATTAGTTCCAAAAGTAGCTGTTTGCTACTCGTCGCGACATCTGGTGTACCAATAGGTACTAAGTACCGGACTGCGCTGTCTTGTGTCGGGATTAGCAGCCCTCTCGAGTTATTGGTCCATGGCAAAGGTAAGGTTTTAAACTAAAGCAAGTTTTAATCTAAATGCTGGTTATGTTAATTAATAACAGTTATTACATTAAATTTAAATTTATTTTTTATGAGTTTTTTTAATAATTTAGGTAATTAAAATCTTCGGCCAAATCGACAACCTGTTTTGAAGTTATTCTACATACATATTTCTTTATATAATGCAATACAATTGCAATAGTCAACGATTGAATAAAAAAAACATAAAGCAAACAATAATTTGGACCTTTTATTTAAAACTGTATATAGTTTTATTTAAAATTGCTTGCAGAATTTGCTACTTAGAAACAATAGACTAGATGAATACACGCTCTTTAGGCATGCACATTATGATGTGCTAGGTAGAGGAAGGAGATCCTTGACCACATCTTCGTTTAGGTACAAAACACACAACTATAACATACGTAACTCCATACACCTAAACAATTGACGGATATAAACCTGCGAAAAAATATATCCTATTGATGTTGCATTGGCTCCTTCACTCATACTTCTTCTTATCCTATCGATGGCACAAACTATAATATTATCGTACCCCAGAAGCTATTGTTGATATCCATGCTGAAGTAAGGGACATGTTTGCGTGTAACGCACTCGTCAATTGTTGCTTATGATCCGCCAGACGTATAAAGGACATGAATCGTACGCCATAGCGAGGAGGTTCCGTTCGAGAGCCGTATAGTTTCATTTCAAATGTAATTGTAACTATGTTTTTTCAAATAAACTCTTTACAGGTGTTATGGTCACGACTTATCCGAAAGAATAGTTTCATTTATATTGTTATATAATTTTCAACACAAATTTTAAAATTGGCCAGGGCAGTAACAGTGTGCGGTTTGTTTTCCTTTGTTTTATTTCTTGTAAAGATTACTGGAGAGTATTTAAAGCTCACATTTAAATGTTTCGTTTTAGAATCGACTAGGCACACAGCTGGGGCATAACACGACGTTATATAATAATTGATGGTTAGCCACAGAATATAGAACTCGTGTTCTCTGTGACCTTTTACTATTATAGAAAAGATTTACCTTTCGATTAAATTTAATTGTTCCCTTAATCTAATTTCAATCTTTATCTTCAAGTTCCAGTTAGTCTACTTCTTCTCTCTCTCTCTCTCGCTTCTGTAGTTTACTTATATCAAAACACATTTACATTAAAATCGAATAATTTCTGTAAATAAGTATGTAGCACCCAGTTAAACAGTTCAAGTAAAATTATCGCAAACTTATTGATACATGTATTTAAATTAAGAAATGTCATTTTATTTAACAGAACATTCTTCGTTATTACCTATTTTATTAACCGACTTCAAAAAAGGAGGAGGTTCTCAATACGACTGTATGTTCTTTTTTTGTATGTATGTTACGCGATAACTCCGGTATTTGTGAACCGATTTTCATGATTCTTTTTTTGTTGGAAAGGGGGTACTTCCATAGTGGTTCCATTTCATTTTGAAGAAAGTCATCCACCTAGAAGAGTGGCTTTTCACGCATGAAGATTCATTTCTATAAATAGCGCCTAACTTTAATTTAGGAGCAATTACTTTAATGGTTGATTTTGCTATTTCTCCAATTCAAGGCGTTTTTCTCTCAATATACTTTGAGTAGTGAGAACCAATTTTTATTATCTCCAGTGTCAAGTCCTGTATAGTGGCGAATTTAAGGATATTTCAATAAAACTTAGCAAATACTCGTAATTCCACGTAATTTTGAGGTCGGTTTTTTTAGTACTCTGTACTGAAATTATGTTATTCTATCGTTGTTTGTCCACAGTGTCTTCATAGTTTGTAACGTGTTAAATACATTCTGTAAGTACATATTGTCCAGTTTTGCTCACTCTTCCTTCAGTCCGTTACAATGAACTATGTAATATAGTGTAATATATATATCTATGTATCCCGAGTTCTTAAGTTACCGCGATTACTTCACATTGCCTAAGTAAATGCATAATATATCTTAAGACCTACGTACATATTATTTATGACACCTAATGGATATTATTTTGAATTACACAGTTACATGATTATGTTTCATTTTCTATCTTTTTGTTTCACTGTGTTACCAATCAACGACACTAATTGATTAAAAAATTACATTAAATGACCGTAGTTGGTGCGCTGTAAAAAAATATTAAGTAACTTTTATGATCCGACTTATAATGAAAACACAATTTAAATTTTAAAACTTTCGTGATTTTTCACCAAGTTATTATTACTAATTAACAATATAACTGGTTATCCCTGGGATAGTAAGAAAAAGTCGTAGTGTAGTAAGAAATCTGTAAGTAATGACAGACATTTAATGTGAAAACATACCATGTGAATATCATTTGGTGCCGAAAAGCCGCTAATGACCGTGTGTGTCGAAACGTGTAAAACTTTAATGCAATTTAAAAAAATTTTCTTTCACACAGACTAAGAAGTTAATACAATATATGTTGCATAAATTTAATGTGAGTTTTTATTACTAACAAGCAAAAGTAAAATAGGAAATAAGCAGCTAGCAGTCATCGGCTATAAATCACGTTGAAATATGCAGGCAAAAGTTGCGAGATGGTAAATCATTGTATTAGTGTGAAAAGGTTTGTAGAGTTCAGAAGACATTAAAATGAGATTTATAACTCTAGTGTTGTTACTTGTGTTATCCGTCATCCTGTTGGTGCAAGCGACCGACAAACCTCATCATTATGATGTGGATGATGCTCAAGCGTTATTCGATCAATATGTTAAAGATTTCAAAAAGACTTACAAGGACGATAGGGACAGAGAGACTCACTTCAAGCAATTTAAGAAAAAATTACAGGTAGTAAATGACCTGAACGACAAGAATTATCCTCAGATTTCATTTGGTATAAATCAGTTCAGTGATCTAAGCGAAGACGAAATGAAGATTATGCACGGATTTAATGCACATAAACGTAAGAGTACTGGAATGTAAGTATTTTTGTCAGTTCTACAACGTGTTTAACACCATTAATTCATAAGTTTTCAAGTCCATAGTTTCACTATATCTTAAGAAGATTAAGCCATCAAAGTGAAAGTCTGACGTTACTACTTTCAAAATTTTCGTGCAGTCGTAATTTATGCTTTGTTGTTTAAAATGGTTTTGGAAATGGAATTACTACGGTCCATGATAATATTAATGACTATTTTATAATACTTCGATTGTCGATGTTCATGGTAAAACATCGCTTTGATGTTCAAAATTTGCCCAGCTACCGGGCAAATTTTGAACATCAATTAAATAAATTTACGTCTATTTATCAAATTATGTTAGTAGAGGTAAGGTTTTAAACTAAAGCAGTCTCAATACTGATTATGTTCATTAATAACTGCCATTTCATTGATTTAATTACATTTTTTTTATAAGTGTTATTTAAATATTTCAGGTAATTAAATCTTCAGCCATATCGACATCCTGTTTTGAAGTTATTCCACATACACATTTCTATATACAATGCAATACAGTTGCAATGGTCAACGATGAAATAAAAACATAAAGACAACAATAATTTTGACTTTTAATTTAAAACTATTTACAATGTTAAAATTAAAGTTACTTGCATAATCTATTATTTAGAAATATATAGCCTAAATGAATAGACATTCTTTAGGCATGCACATTATATGTGCTAGTTTGAGAGGATTGGGATCCTCGATCACATCTTCATATATAACACATAACTATGCCATACGTAGCTCCAATACACATTAGGTGTCTCTGACGCACCTAAACAATTGACAGATGTAAAACTAATTATAATAAAATGTAGGCGCTAATTGTAAAAATTAGTGTTCATGCATGAACAGCCACCCTTAGAGATGGAATATAGTACTGACGTACCCTCTTTCAAACAAAGAAGATATCAAAATCGGTTCTCAAATGCCGTTGAGTTATCGCGTAACATACATACAAAAAAACATACAGTCGAATTGTGAACCTCCTTCTTTTTTGAAGTCAAAGAAAAGAAATAATAAAAACGTGCAAATTGATATGCACATATATGTAAATTATTGGAAAAAGGTGAGGAGAACGTAGGAAATGAAACTATTCTTCCGGATTTAAATCGCGTATATTTGTTTTCTCAAACAAACCGACGTTTGAAAAAATAAATATACGCGATTTAAATCCGGAAAAATAATTTCATTTCCTATGTGTAACAACCGCGAAAACCTAAGAACTCGATGTGAGGAGAACATTTTTAATACAGTTTAATACGTGAGAGTAATTAGAAATACGTAAATAATAACTACATAGTATAATGTAAAATATGTAAAAACAGAAACTACAAAAACCCGATATTTTTTGTTTCATCGTTTTTGTCGCGATATACGCAATTTCATATCGTCGTTCTTGTCTTCCAAATGTATAACAATAGTTTATTACCAATTATGCAAACAGCATTATCAACTGAAATAAATATAGTCATGAGGAGGTTCACACACATAGTGCCATGCTACGGCCACATATTTAGGTACGGTAATAACCTGTGTCCCACAATTCTACTATTTTCTTCAAACCAATACCACTAAGATTATATAGCAATTATAATAATATTTGTTATTCTACTATTACTATACCATATCTGTTATTAGCCTACTTCAAAAAAAGGAGGAGTTTCTCAATTTGACTGTGTGTTTTTTTTATGTATGTTACGCGATAACTCAATATTTGTGAACCGATTTTGATGATACTTTTTTGTTGGAAAGATGATACCTCAGCGTGAGTCTGTAAGAGGGTACCGCAGAGTGGTCTCATTTAAATTTGAAGGAAATATTCCAGCTCTAAAGGTAGCAAACTATGGACTTTTGAGGTCGGTTTTTTTAGTACTCTGTACTGATTATTGAGCCTCAACTGCTATTGGAATTAGATTAAAATCTGGTTTTTGCATCTAGACTTGGTGGATAGCCATTGACAAGCTCATTAATCTTTTAACTTTTAGCAGAATAGTAAACGTACAAAATCCTGCCGCTGACACTTCGATACACAACTGAGATGATTTAAAATTAGTAGACTTGGGGTCCTGGTGTCAAACTTCGTAATTCCTTATACTATACCGAGTATATAACCAGAAACAGAGACGAAATGTCATTAAATTTGATTGTTAAAATATAATAATAAAAAACTATTCTGCCTTATCGTTACGGTGACAACTGCCAGCCAGAACTAGAAACAATTGACGGGTGTCGTCAACAGTTTCACTTCAAATCGACCAGTTTAACTTGAGCTTTGCTATAATTTAAAAATTACATACTTAATATTCAATTACCGATGAAATGTGATTCCGTTTGTTATATAATTAGATGTTTTGCTGGTTTTCCCACACTACCGCATGGAACAGCCTCCCATTGTTAGTACACACAGGTCAGTTGTTGGCGCTGTATTACTTCAGCTTTCTAATTTGTAACTTCCGCGCAGACGAGAGTTGATATTTAAGAGTGATATAAGGCCCATTTGCCTGATGAGTTTCCAGGGATGGATGACCCTTATTTCTAGTCATTTACTCGATGCTGTGAAATTGTGCCGGCAAATATGACAATACACTGATAATGGCATGAGACATTGACATCTCATGGTATCCGCCATATTTGAAGTTAAGTACTTCATCTAGTTGGATAATGGGGCGATATATATGATGCTAGATCTTGTAACATAATATGATAACAAACCGAATGCCATAAGGCATAACATTCATAAAATTGTTATGGAATTCATAAATGTAGATAGAACGTCTATAATAAAATATTAAGTTAAATAATGTGCACCAACGTAATAACTAATTATATGATTAAACTAAAGTGCGTTATCTCAGTAACAACGTACATATTATAATGACACGGATGCACACTATTTTGAATTACACAAGTTCATGATTATGTTTCAATTTCTAGTCTATTATTATCTTTTTTATATCATTTTATTGGGTTATAAATTTAAATTTTGAAATCAACAATAGCCGGTGAGTAAAGAAATCACAATGAATTGCAGTAGGAGAGCTGTAAAAAAATATCAAGTAATTTTTAACATTCAATCTATAGGGAAACCACGGTTTAGGTTTTAAGACTCGTGGTTTTCACAAACTTCTTATTTATTACTTGTTACCAATGTAAATAGTTATCCCTAGTATGATACGAAAAAATCTTACCATGGTATACAACCTGAAACTAATGATAGATTCCCATCATTAGTTTCATTCAGACGATTCATGAATCATAACGATTTGATAGTATTTTCAGGATGAGAGTCTTGACAAGGCTATTCGTCAATTCTGGGAGATTGAATCGGTCCCAGAAAAATCTGCTCTGTCGGCTGAAGATCAGCAGTGCGAAGAAATTTTCGTTCAAACGCACAAACGACTAGAATCAGGAAAATTCGTTGTCTCACTTCCATTTCGGGATGGTGAACCCTCATTAGGCGAATCGCGTTCTTTAGCATTCAAGCGCTTAATTTCGATGGAGCGCCGTTTTGCTTGCAATGAGCAATTTCGTAATCTATATGTTGATTTCATGGAAGACTACTTAAAATCTGGTCACATGGAACTCGTTTCAGGAGAAATTAAGGGAAATCATTTTTTCATCCCGCATCATGGCATTCTTAGGCCATCGAGCTCAACCACTAAGTTGAGAATTGTGTTCGTTGCTTCAGCACTAACAAGTAAAGGAGATTCCTTAAACGATTATCAACTTATTGGGCCTAAATTGCAAAAGGAGGTTGGAGATCTCATTTGTAACTTTCGACTTCATGAAATCGCTTTTACCAGTGACATTCGCCAGATGTATCGCCAGATTTTAATCACTGACGAACATTTAAATTACCAACTCATCCTCTGGTGGACCTTCCCTACCGACGAGCCACAAACTTATCGTTTAAAAACTGTTACTTATGGAATAACTTCGTCCACATTTCTTGCTATTCGCGTTCCCCAGCAGTTAGCTGAGGATCACAAATCGGAGTATCCTGAAGCTGCTAAAATACTTAGTCGTTACACATACATGGATGACGTTGTCAGTGAATCTGATTCTATAGATTCCGCAGATCTGCAGAACCAGCTTTTTGATTTGCTCAAAAAAGGGGAATTTGAACTCAGAAAATGGTGTTCGAATAGTCCTGAGTTCCTGCAGCGTCTTCCTGATTCGGTCAGAAGCATTGAATCGTCTACAGTCTCGTTGGACAAAGACAGTTCTGTGAAAGTGTTGGGCGTGGCCTGGCAGCCTGTCAAGGACGTTTTTTCCTATAACGTCACACCTCTGCACAACAGGGTGACGAAATGTGTAGTTTTGCTCGAAACTGCACGCATTTTTGATCCTGTCGGTTTTTTATGTCCAGTCATCGTCGCTGCCAAGATTCTTATTCAAGAACTTTGGTTAGCTGGTGTTGACTGGGATGCAGAGGTTCCCCAAGACATTCGACAGAAATGGCTTCGGATCGTTTCCGGATTCCCCAACCTTTCGAATATTCAAATTCCTCGATTCGTTCCAACACAATCATGTCGCGTTGAACTTCATGGCTTCTGTGACAGTTCGGAAGTTGCTTACGTAGCCGTAGTTTATTTGCGTGTCGTACATTCTAACGGACTGATAGGTGTCCACATATTCTCAGTGAAGTCTCGAGTGGCCCCAAAAGAAGAAACTTTCCCTGCCAAGATTGGAGTAATGCGGCGCTTCGCTTCTTTCCTCGTTGTTCGCATTCATTCGTCGTTCGATTGGCTCGCAGGTAACCATCACTAATGAGTGCGCTTGGACCGACTCAAGCATCGTTCTGTGTTGGTTGCGTGTCGCTCCGTACTACTGGTCCATCTATGTTGCAAACAGAGTCGTAGAGATTCAAAATTAAATTTCCCCAGACAAATGGCGACACGTTCGGTCTTCTGACAACCCGGCTGACTGTGCCTCTCGTGGCCTGTCGCCTAACCAAATTGGAAATCATGACCTCTGGTGGAATGGCCCAGCGTGGCTAGGTCTACCGGAAGATCAATGGCCCGTGGCTTCTCTTAACATGGAGAACAGTAATGTGCCTGAACGTCGTACTCAAAAAATTACTCTCATTTGATTGACTGTCACGAGGAACCATCGTTCCTCAATCGACTTTCCTGCGTGATGTCGTACTGTTTTCGTTTTAAATTGTCGTTCGAAAACCAGAACTACTGGCCCGTTGACAGTTTCGGAGATCCACGATACAACTTCGCGTTTGGTACGCATCGTCCAAAAGTTCTGATTCGCTTCAGATCTTCGAAACCTGGATCTTAAAAAACACGTCTCGACTCCAACGCCTAAACCCCTTCCTCGACGAGCAGGGTGGGTCACGTAAGGGTGGGTGTGTGTTCGACTGTCAAATTCGAACTTTCACTTTAGTCAAAAGTATCCCTTGATACTTCCACCTGAGAGTGTTTTTACGAAGACAGTCATCGATTTCTTCCATAAAATTAATCTGCATTCGGGTCTTCAAGCTACACTGGCCTATACTGGGCTAGAAGCTACTGGATTATTTCGGCTAGACGAGTAGTCAAAAAACGGATTTTTCTTTGTGTCAGGTATTATAGGTATCGACCAATACTTCTTGACCCAAAAATGGCTGACTTACCTCAGGCTCGTCCAGCAAGTCAGACCTTTTGTTAAGGTTGCTGTCGATGACGCAGGACCTATCACGACAAAAGTAGGAACTCTTCGTAAGTCTAAGATCGAAAAATCATATATTTGTGTCTTCACATGCCTTACCACGCGTGCATTGCATATTGAACTCGTCTCTAATTTATCTACGGATGCCTTTATGGCAGCATTACGTCGTTTCATCAGTCGTCGTAGCATGTGTTCTGACATTTTTAGCGACAACGGCACCAATTTCGTCGGTGCTAGCTCTGAACTAAAGGCCTTGTACAATTTCATAAAGAGTCAGAACACCTACCTAGCTCATTCATTGCTGAAATTCAAAGTTACCTGGCATTTTTACCCTCCAGCTGCCCCTCACTTCACCTCTTGTTCGTACCGTCGGTGCTACAGTTCTCACGTTTGAAGAATTAGTAACGATTTTGACACAGATCGAAGCTATTTTAAATTCACACCCTCTTTCCTTAGTTCGGATCCTAACGATTTAGACGCGTTAACGCCGGGACATTTTTTAATCGGAGAGCCACTCAATGCCTTTTTGGGATCGGACGTAACGGAACTTAATGTAAATCGTTTATCGCGGGGGCTATTACTACAGCGCTTCATGCAAAGTTTCTGGAAACGCCGGCACAGCGAATATTTGTGCACATTGCAGCAGAGAGGAAAATGGTGCTCGTAAATGATCCTAATTTGTCTCCACTACAGTGGAAATTGGGGCGGATATCAGAGGTTCATCCTTCATAAGATGGCGTCGTTCGGACAGCTACTGTCAAAACTAAACAGGGCTTTTTCAAAAGACCCGTTCACAGGCTTGCGCCTTTCCCTCTTTCAGATTGAATTTAGTTATTTTTAATTTTTGCTTTTGTTCTTAATTTTTTTTTAATTTTACATTTAGTCTGTTAAGATCGGTTAAAATTTTTTGGGCAGTGTTCGTAAATGTGTAAACATCCTTAAAACATAACTTTTTGAATAATCTGCGCTCGGACAATATGCAGGTAGTTTTATAATAAGTCGCTGGATTGCAATATAATCTCACCTGCATTTTTTCTTATATTGGTTCGGGAGGCCGCCCGCCAGATCTCTTTCGACTTCGGTCTCGACCGGGTGATATTTTAAGTGCACCCCTTCTCATTCATCCATCATTTTTATTATTGACTGCTTTGTGTCGTGTTGGTGTCTACTGGTGACTGATTGTGATGGTGGACCTTGGGAGCTCCAAAAAGTAGGCAACGAATAGCGGTGACGTCATCAACCATCTCCTACCGGAGGAGCCGAATACAAGAAGATTAAAGATAGGTGGGTTTTATATGGTCATCCGAAACCAAAAATATTGCTATTTACCTTTTGTCTGACCAGCTAAAATTACAGTCCACTTTTCGTTTACTCTTATTACAAATTACAATTTCGTCATTAAGGGAAAAGACCGTTTTTCGAGAATGATGAGACAAACTATATGGACATCTTTTGGTGTTAAAAAACCGGTAACACGACCGTGTGTGTCGAGACGTGAAAAAAATATACAGCAATTTTTCTTTCACATGAACTAACCAACAAGTTAGTACCATATTGTATAAATTTACTGTAAATTTTTGCCAGTAGCAAACATATACCTATAATATATGTATAATATGAATAATTTGAAATAGGTATTAAGTAATTGGGTATACATGTATCTATTCATGGTAATTAGCTAGCGTCAAACTTTGAAAAGCCCTATACTATGACAAAATTTTGCTGCATTCGTCGTTTTTGACAAATAAAACAAAACACAAATAAAGACCAAATTTGATATTTCAAGGCACCTGTCGTATCTAAAACTATATATGATGCTGGTGTATGAATATAATGTACATTTTTAATACTATAAGTAGGTATTGGATATTTACTGTCGTTCAACAAGCTAATCATCAGCTATAAATCACGTGTAAAGACGCAGGTATAAATAGCGAGATGCTGAACATTTTTATTACTGTGAAAGGTTTGTAGAGTTGCAGAATACATGAAAATGAGATCTATAACCTTAGTGTCCTTCATCCTGGTGTGCAGGGGAAATACGATTTTCCTTATGATTTGGATGAAGCTGAAAAGTTGTTCAACCAATTCATAATCTCTGAACACAAGATTTACAAAAATGACAACGGCAAAATTCTCTTCGAGAAATTTAAGAAAAGTTTAAACTTACTGAATATTTTGAACAATAAGACCTATCCTAACGCTCTCTTTCGTACAAATCGGTATTCTGAACTAACCGCACAGGAAATAAAGGCTTTATGTATGTGTGAACCTCAGTAAAGGTAAGATTTTAAACTAAAGCAAGTCTACATACTAAACAACTATATATATATGTTATATATTATATTGAATAAAAAAAATATATTATGTCGAGTTCTTAGGTTTTCGCGATTGTTATACATAGGAAATGAAACTTTTTTTTATTTTTTTTTATTAAGGCATTGGCAAAGCCATCAGCCTAAACATGAACTTTAATTATGTTTCTGTAAATATGGCCGCCACAAAGAGGATAGGCAAATTGAGGCGGCGTGCTTGGATTGACTCGGGATTCCTTAAAACGGGCCGATACGGGTATTTTAGTTCGAGATTCGTATAATTTCGCGTTTTAATCTTCGATTAAGGCACAATAGCACTATCCTATTCCACTTTAAACTAGATTGCACAAAATAATTGAAAGTCAAAATAAAAACGACACTTTTCCCTCCAAAAGGTCTAGAGCGAATGTCGGAAATGAAACTATTTTTTTTCGGATTTAAATCGCGTATATTATATTATATTATGTGACCTATGTAAACAGGCAAAAGAAAAATTCATACAGCCAGCTGCTCAGTGTTCGTGATTGCGAGAATTAAAAATGCTTACTTGTACTGCTTAATTTAAAAAAAAAAGAAAAGGCGGTAAAATAAACTAAAGTACTTTTGTATTC